ACTGTCTACTGTCGGTAGACAGGATACTGGGCTAGATGGACCTTTGGTCTGACCCGGTACGGCTGTTCTTATGTTATGACTCCAGATATTTGAATTGTATTGTTTTAGATTGTTCCTTAACCACCCCTAACCCCTACACACACAATCTCTCTCTCCTCTCTTTCTCTGGCTAGGGGACAACATGAAATTAACCAAGAGGCTAAAGAAAATGGAGATGAAGCTGATCAGCAAGAAGCAGTGCTCCGAGTGGCTCCCGGAGCTAACGGAGAACATGCTGTGCGCTGGCTCCGCGGAAGGAAGGAAGGATGCCTGCCAGGTAAAGTAAACAAGCGCCCGCAGGACCGCGCTGCTGACGTCAGCAGAAAGAAATCACGACGGAAGCTGATTTGCTATGGTAATGAACATTGATCCCTTCCGCAGCTCCCTGGGGTTGCTAATGTTTCACTGCCTGTGTTCAGGGCATGAGACTCCAAAGAGTGCAGCCAAGGAACTGGCAGACTATCTTGGTGCCTAGTTAAAAAAGGATATTGAACAGGACAGCCAGGGTGCGGGGCTCCTTGGGTTAGCAGGTGCTCGCAGTGCTGCAGAAACAATCCGCTCCGTTCCACGGAGGACACTGCACCTTGCATTCTTTTAAGCAATCCCCCATCTGTCACTCCAGGAGCAGAACTCATGGAGCGGTTTTCACCCTCCTCAGCTAAAAAGAGAGGTGGACTTGATGCAGGGTGTTAGAAGGGGCATGGACAACCAAAAGGAGGAAAAAATGAGATGATCTCAGACTACCCCTTCCCAGAATTATATATTACATGGGGAGGAGTAGCTTGGACGGCCCCGGGGACTGGGAATGTGAGACGGAGCTGGTTGTATCAAAGCAGCTGGTTCAAACCAAAAGCAGGTACAGGCCAAGAGTTGTTACTATCTGCTGGCTGGTCGGTGGCTGATGTGACAAGGAGTGTGGTGGTGGTCTCAGGTCCTGTTAGTATGCCAGTATATTTATATGCCAGCAGAGCCCCTAGTGTAGATGCAGCATATGCTGGCAGAAGGAGTTTTCCTCCTGCCATATCTACACAACCTGCCTGACCAACGTTAGCTATGCTGACAAAAGTACTCTTGGGTCGGCATAGCTGCATCTACACTGGGAGCTTGAGTCATGTAGCTATGTCGGCCAAGGGGTGGTGGTTTTTTCTTGTTGTTGGTTCCACCCTCTGAGCGGGTCTAAACTTGGCAGTGGAGACCGGGCCTCAGTCCAATTCCCATAGACAGGACATGACGGTCTCTTATTGTGATACAGAAAGACAGCGTATGAGGCGTGAGGGGAGAATTGGCTTCTGCACCAGTGGTAACAAATGGAGAACGCCTCTCCCTCTCCTACGGTCAATGCTGCAGAAGACATACGTGTGTCTAAATCCCAGAAGGGTGTAAACACCAAGGGGTGGGGATTGGTTAGGTTTGTCCGGAGGGGTAGGGGGGTAAGAGCAGAAGAAATGGGAAGAAATTCAGTAAAGGAGAGTTCAGGCTGAATATCAGCAACCCTCCTAATAGGGAGGTCAGTCCAGCTCTGAGGGCACAAGGCTTTGACACCACAAAAACACCAGCACAACTGGCAACAATTAGACAGCCATCTCCGTCCTCTTGATGGCTCTCCCAGTTTGAGGTATCAAGACTGAAAGAGCCATGGAGACTGGATGACTGCCATCCGTAGAAGCAATGCTTCCAGTTCAGGGCTGAGTCACCTTGAAAGCCTCGCATGGGTCAGCTTTGCTTTGAGGAATCATTCTTCGGAGAGACGGAGAACCGCAGTCTCCAGAGTTGTTAATCTGTCAGCTTTCACCTACGTGAAATTCCCTTCACATTTTTAAAAAGAAAACTGCCACGGGGTAGCATTAATATCATTAAATAATGCCCTTGTCTAGTCTTGCCATAAGTTGCGCATTTGATTTATGCTATTGCAACAGCTAGACTATCCGTACCAGCATAATGAATCTCATGTAGCCAAAAAGTTGACTAGGTCTTTATTTTGATCTATAATACGCTCGAGTATAATGAGAAATGAGGACGTAACGTGGAACTGAACAGAAAGTGCCGGCGTATAAGAAAACGTTCCCCAGGCCCTGACTCGTGTGTGTGAAATGCCGGGAGTCTGGAGATTAACATGAGCCCAACGTTCTGGCTACTGCCCATCTTCAGCGCAGGGCTGGCAGGTTACTAATGTGGCTCGGCCAGGCAGAAATGTGTTGTAGCTTGAAACTGTGGGAAAACCCTAGGCGAGGAACTAGAGCTGGTGGCAAAAAATCCGATGAAATGCTTTTACATTGGAATTTGCCAATTTGTCCACACTGAAATGTTTTGCAGAGATGGTTCCGTTTCGATGAAGTTCCTGCCTGGTTTCCTGCCAACCGGCCTGCCTGGCTGGTAAACCAGTGGGGAGATGAGAGCCTGGAATCTCTGGGAACCCCAGCCCCTAGACTCCTGGCTTCTCTGCACCTTGGGTTTCTAGGGTCCCTGGCTCCAGGGAAGCCCACCAGGCAGAGTGCCCCAGAGCCAAGGCTCCAGTCTGTTTTGCGGAAAATTTTGAACTATCGAAATCTTCTGCCAAATGGAATTGCCTTTCTCTGCTCCGCTCTAGAAGCAACCTAAACTAGGACGCGGACAGCAGCGCTGCAGTAACATGGATTGGCCCCTGTCCAAACAGGGGTAGGAACTCATGAATCTGGAATTTGTGTTTAAACCTTGTTTTGTTCTTTGAGCCCCAGTATGGATGGGGCCTAGCAAACTTAGAGCAGGGAGGAGGGGAAAGGATGGTATCTCCTGGACTCATTCTCATTGTCATGAAAGGGTTCTGGGTGCTGTTCAGGTGCACGGTAGGGAAGCCCTCTAATCTGTCACATTTAGAGATGGGCTGGACCCAAAATCCTGGATCCAAACACCTCCACACATTGGGGATGTTCAGGTCTGGATATACCAACTGCTGAGATAACAAAGCCACGTATGCATAGCACAGGAAATGGTACACTTCTCTGTCTGCCTCCTCACAATGTTGTATGTCCCTGCACCCTCCTGGATGGATAATCCCAAGCGTGTACTACCCTGGCTCTCCATCTTGTGTTACAACATAATAGTACTTACGCATCACAGGCCGATTTGTTGTTCATGATCACTGTCATGAATGTGGACGTTTTAAGGAGGAGGCCTCCGCGAATGCTGATACAAAACCTTTACACTACTGACTGCTAGAAAGTGTATGTGACTGTAACAGGCTTTGTTGGGGCAAACTATAGAGAATCTCATCTGTTATGCAGCGACAGAAGCATAACTATTTTGTGGGTTGTGGATGGTGTCTCTCTAATATTCCAGGGAAGATTCAGTAGTGAATGTCCCAACTATTTTTACCTTTAAAAAAATCAATTCAATTAAACAAATCTATTGAACACCAGCTACTTAAAGGTTCTTCAGACATCTACAGAATGGCTTTGAATGAATGCTAATAGAATCTGTAATTGACTGGCTCTATTTAGCCGTAAATACTAGCATTCACAGATGATCAAGGTACACATACACTTCAGAACAGGCTGTACAGATTTCCTGTGTGGTTCGAATGTGCTACTTTTCTTCCATGACCCCTGAATTACATATTGGGTTTAGTTCCCTGTTTTCTTAAGCACCCTTTGTTAGATTCTGAAGCAAAGAAAGTGATTAGAGGGCTGGGGCACATGACTTATGAGGAGAGGCTGAGGGAACTGGGCTCGTTTAGTCTGCAGAAGAGAAGAGTGAGGTGGGATTTGATAGCAGCCTTCAACTACCTGAAGGGGGGTTCCAAAGAGGATGAAGCTCGGCTGCTCTCAGTGGTGGCAGATGACAGAACAAGGAGCAATGGTCTCAAGTTGCAGTGGGGGAGGTCTAGGTTGGATATTAGGAAACACTATTTCACTAGGAGGGTGGTGAAGCACTAGAATGAGTTACCTAGGGAGGTGATGGAATCTCCATCCTTAGAGGTTTTTACGGCCCGGCTTGACAAAGCCCTGGCTGGGATGATTTAGTTGGGGTTGGTCCTGCTTTGAGCAGGAGGTTGGACTCGATGACCTCCTGAGGTCTCTTCCAACCCTAATCTTCTATGATTCTATGAAAGGCATTAACAACAATTAACGTCTTTAAGGGCTTTAACTCACAGGGAAAATGCTTGCTAAATTCCTTGCTTATTTAGTGAGCATAAGAACATAAGAATGGCCAGACTGGGTCAGACCAGTGGTCCATCTAGCCCAGTATCCTGTCTTCTGACAGTGGACAGTGCCAGGTGCTTCAGAAGGAATGACCAGAACAAAGCAATTGTCGAGTGATCCATCCCCTGTCGTCCAGTCCCAGCTTCTGGCAATCAGAAACTTAGGGACACCCAGAGCATAGGGTTGTGTTCCTGACCATCCTGGCTAATAACTGTTGATGGATTTAGCCCTCAATGAAGATTTGGGAAATGTCCCAGTTATATTTTTGGAAGGTTTCTGGAAAGGAGAGGAGCTGGATAGGCCAGTGCTTTGGCAAATGGAACAGAGAGCTGTTTACTTTGACGTCAGTTCAAATCTTATTCAGATCATAACTGAAGGAACGATGATCTTATGGATAAGGCATTGGATTGGGACCCAGGACAGCACTGTTTGACTCCAAGTGTGACTCTGGGCAAACGTCTCTGTACCTTAGTTTGCCATCTGTAAATTGGGGGTAATATTCCTATATTGGTGATTTATGGTGTAAGGTCTTGGGGGGCAGGGACTGACTCTACAGTGCCTGACACATTGGGGCCGCTACTCACTACTGAAATACAAATGATTATAACAAACGTTGTTCCCATCTCGTGGCTAGTCTATGTGAAGTGGTGGGTCTCAGTCCAGTTCCCCAGGACCAGGCAGTCAGATACCCTGGTGATGAATGCAAGCTCACCAAACAGCATCATCACAGCTGGCCAGCTGTTGGCAATCTCAGCAGGGAGGCCCAGGTCTGAGCAGTCTGTGGAGTCTAATCTGCCCTCTTACTCCAAGCACACAGTTCAGTGGCTTGGTGGTCTAATGCTAACATTCTTGCTTTGTGTCTTTGTGGTCATGAGTGCTAATCCCTCCCACAAGTGGCAAAGACCCACAACACCTTGCGTCAAACTGAGCTGGCACATAAATGGAACAGAAAGTCTTATGAAAGAGGGAATATTCATTAAGTAACAAATCTGCAAATGACAGATCGGGGCCAGCACCAATGATAATGATACCTTTTGAAAAACTGAAGAGGTTCAGAGAAAAGCTACAAGAAAGATAAAGGGATTGGAAAACATGTCTC